TCCTGTCGGGCGGGAGGGAGCCGAACGCGCGGCTGCGGCGCCTCGCCTAGGTCTTCCCCAGCTCCCGGGACTGTCGCAGTGCAGCGTCCCCACCCTCCCGCGTCCTGTCCCTTGGCAACCAGAGCCTCCAAGCCGGATCTTAGGTGACCAGCTCCGAGTCCGGAAGAAAGGGGGAATATGGGAGGGAGAGAAGAACTCGAGTAACGGGCGTGCGAAATGGCTTTCGGGGCGGGTCGCTTTGGTACAGCGGCTTAGATTAGGCAGAATGGCAAAATTGTGTGACCCGAGAGACACTGAAATTGTCTTTGGTTAAGCATCGTCTTTATCAGGAGGCGTCTCTTGAAAAATGTAAATAACTCTGGGTGACAAATTCAGCTTTTATTCACACCAGTAGGTTCCGCCTGTGTGTGACTGTGTTACCGCTGGGAACCTGGTACGATGTATACAGCCCAGTCTTGGAGGGTAAGTGCCACACACCACATTTTAAATTTCCACTTGGGATATGTCTGTTCTGAGGACCGAAAACTAAATGTCAGAGTCAGAGGGGACAGAAAAAGCCAAGCCCCATCCAAATGAATAATTCCTGCGGGGAGGCCTGATGATGGCGTGGCCAACTGGACAGAAAACGTCCTTTTTCCCCAACTGGATCACCTGTGAATTCCTGCAAATCTTTCGCTCTTTTTGTTCCGCGAAGACATTCAAGTTAGGCAAGTTCTGTAGCACAGATTTACCAGGTGACTTCGTGAGAGAGACTGCTGGCCGGCTTCCTTTCCTCTCCCACGCGGGCTGGCGCCCCGCGGTGCGGGTGCCGAGCCAGCTCCACGCGGGGCGCCAGCAGGACCCCTGCGGGACTGCAGAGCGGTAACGCGGAGGGACCCGGGCCGCCGATCGCCTCGCTGGCACCGCTGCCTAACGCGCCCTGCGCGGCCTGCCCGTCCGCCTCGGGACGTGAGTGTCAGTCTTGCTTTAGCTGGTGCCCTTTTGACCTACTTGTTACAGAAGCTCAACGAAGCCCCTGAAAGGGAGAGTTGGTAGCGAGAGTGGTGTGCAACAGTAACAGAGACCCAAGACCTACATGGCGTTGGCAGGTGGAAGCCTACTGCAGGCTGGAGGGCTGCTGACTCGTCCCAAATGTACTGGGGAGAGTGTCACCCCAGTGAACTTGGAAGGCGGGCTGTCAAGCCTACAGCTCTGAGGGAAGTAGTTGAGAAAAGTTCAGAATGTGAGTTTGTGTTGGCGGCCGCCCCTTGCTTTCAGCAAGGCGCAGCAAAGAGAAGTGCAATCAGTTAGGAATGAACCAGTTCGCAAGCAGAGGCATTAGAGAACAGACTTCCACTACGGGGCCTCACCGGTAACATCTGCTCCGGCTTTTGATCCACATGTGACTATGCATCTCTGGGGGATCAGTGCAGGCACTTAATGTTTGAAGGGTATCCTCCTCATCTCTCTCCAGTCTCTTCTAGAACGAAATTCATTTACAGAATGACAGAGCTAGAAAGGATCCTTGAACAGTCAACTTCTTCAATCTTTTCATTATAAGGTCAGAGAAAGTTTAAGTGACTTGTCCAAGGTCAGATAGCCGACTCAGGTTCAATGACCTTTGCCCAAAGAAGAATCTGTCTTTGGTATTGTAC